CCCGAGGTAAGCTTGTGAGGTTTTTTCGCAAGCTCTCGGACAAGCACTGAGCATACAGTGCTTATTAATATACGTTGAGTACGGGCAAAACCGTTATATATATAATCCGTAAGAGGTTGTTTCCCTTGAACTTTCTGAAAAACAAATATACAATACATGGGGTAAATTTCGGTCCGAGCGCCCCCCCCCAAAAAAGCCAGTGCGTGCCACCGATTAGGGCTATTCTTTGTTTTAAATTATGTAGTGAAACTTATAGACCTTCTTCCTGGGATGTCACGCGTGTTGGACCGCAATGTGTTGTGATGGTAATGATGCATAGTATCGGGATATTATGATACTAATCTACTTATTCAAGATGAACTATTCAAGCAGGCAGCTTTCGCACGTGCGTTTGTGGGCGTACATGTACATGTACGTGCGGGTTGAGGCTGCCCGTAGGATTATGCAATCACCGTGGCCAAGGCGGTTCACACGTGGTGGTATTGTTTACATTTAGCGCAATCCAGTCACGTGGGTGGAAAAGGACTATCCGGTTCGTAATTGACTTAGTCACAAAGGGACGTACTACGATTTGCAGGCTCCCATTGGACGATCGCTGAATTGAAAAGGCGATGCACCGCGCCAAGCAGCTGATGTTTAGAATTAGTAGACTTACATCAGTTTCTCTGAAACCTTACGCTGATTGTATTGTAGCTCTATGGTATGAACAACCTTTTTAAGTGGGAAATGCGTCTAAACAACGGACTTGTGGAAATTTAATACGTACGTGACCAAACACATGTTCGCCACTCACTGGTTCCGTATAGCTTCGTACATAGACAGATCAACAGGAGGGATAGGATACCAGTGAAAACGTTATAAACACAACAGACGTCGACATGTGCTGGCGTGGCCTACTTTGCTGCCGAAGTGGAAAATAAAAGGTCGGCCAAAGTGGTCATCTGAAAATTGAGGCAAACCTTCCGTACAGCCAGGCGCTGATCGTTGGCCAAGGGGAATTTGACCTTGGATGTCTATCGGTAGGCCTCATAACTAGAATAAGCGTAAACCGTACGCATCAACGCAGTGACAGAGCTGCCGGAAGTGTGAGCGGTGACGGCATTGCAGGCGCAAAGTGAGTAGAAATGACCGTACCGACTTACGCATAAGTTGTAAATACATGAAAGATAATGAGTTGCGTGTTTATTATTATGAGAAAAACTGTTTAATACACTTCCATATATTACCTGTAAAATGTAAATACCAAGGCTTTTACAGGCACGACAGGTAGGACCCATTGTAGCCCCACAAAGAAATAGGGCTGTAGTGGCTCTCTTTTTACGAACTGTCTCCTGTCGCCACCACAGCCCTACTTCAAGGCATGTCTAAGTTAAATGCCTGAAATCCAAACTGCAGGATTGTCACAAACGTTGAATCCTAATATCTTCCGAAATGAGAATGACTCGACAATTTTACTTACACCGGCATATTCCTCGGAGTTTGGACTTTCATATGAGCACCCTAAAGCTTCAGAAACCCGGCCCGTAGTATTACCGGTACTTTTGATTTTAT